CAATCGAGTGCAAGGTGATGATGCTAGCGATCGACATTCATTCGAAAAAAAGCTGTTTTCCCCATTTATTTCGGTTTCTACTGGTCTAGCGCGTTCATCGAAGGATTCGCCTCTAAATGGGGCCCAGGGAAACGTGGACCCTCTCTGAGTTGTGCGTGTGTCAAATCGAGAATTTACCTTCCCTTTCTGGGAGTGAAGTGAATTACTAGCTCGCACATGAAACTGAAATTTAAAAAATAAACCAGAAACTGTGGTCAACCGGATTAACTACTGGCAGCAGACAGCATACAGGCCTGCACGTCTGCGTTCGACAAAAGGTAAGAGGGTGGAAGAAACTTGAAAGAAAGTGGATGAGATCGGGGAAGATGATTGTGGTATCTTTTGCCCGTGTCCTAATTCCGCAAGTGTGTGTGTGTGTGTGTGTGTGTGTGTGTGTGTGTGTGTGTGTGTGTGTGTGTGNTGTGTGTATGGAAAGACAGACACAAGCAGGCGTAGATGAATGGAAACGTTTTTGGGGATGGGAGGGGGTCAAATAACGAAGGAATGTGTAAACAACATCAAGCGAATAAACAGTCCGAATAGGATCCAGCCCATGGTGGTACTGAAGGATAACCACTTAGCCATGCAGCATCTAAATCCCATGTGCATATGAATGAATTGAATGGATGCGAACGCGATTAAGGAAACTGCACAATATGGGGCAAGATATCAGACGAAGACAAATTGTGGAGAAAAATTATGTAGCATGAGTATACAAAAAAGCAGGGATGAAACTCCTACCGACTGATCAATTCAATTGCACACAAAAATGTTGAAGTGAGCGAATGCACGACGGTAAGCGCGAGCAACCTGAGATCATTCCCAAATGTCTGTCCGGTTGTGAGATGCAATCACAATCCCCTGTGACGAATATGAAAAACCATGCTGTTTAAAAGCATGTGGCGCATGGAGTACTATACAAGTCACGCACCTTGGGGGTTGATGATGTCTTATTGTCCTTAGTTGACCATTTTCAGTTCTATTGCTAAAATGAGTAAGACTTCACAAGCACTGATGATGTCACCTCGGCTGGTGATGAAACGTTTGCAAACAAATCGCCAAGCTCGGCGAACAGGCGAAATTGAAAACTAGGTTCTCGTAAAAGGCTTGAAAAGATGCGCTGTGTAGTCTCGCCGGTGAGCAAAGAAGAACAATCCAATCATCCGTGCGCTGAGTAAATTTTTAGTGTGCTTACGTTCAAACTGCGAGGTCCCGGACTTGATTCTACATTGAGTAGATGGATTCGCACATTTGATGAAATCCCAAAAGATCGAAACAACTATGCAGCGCTTCCTAGCTTCTCAATGTAAACACTTCCTTTGCTCTGTCTGTGATGAATTTCATCGAATCGTCGAACTGAATGCTCGAATAATCGCTTATGTTGCTCTCTTCATTGCGATTAACCTGGATAGCGAAAGCTAAAGCTAAATGTGAGCAATTCATGTTGGGAAATTCAAAATGCTATGCACAATAAAAGACTGGATGGAAACTGGCCAAAGGTTGAAACATACACATCAGCATACAGGAATGCGAAAAACAGATACAATACAACACAAATGCGCTGTGTGGGATTATTTTAAAAAAAACAGATACATTTATACCATTAAGAATTTAAAGGAAAAAGAATAAACGAAAACGCAAAAAAGTTCAACAAGTAGAGGAAGACAGAAAGAAAAAAAATTGTTATGCTATCTCGCATGCCCAGAAGTTAACTCCTACGAACTTAAAAATACTCATCAATATCTTCTATTCAATCCTACCCCAAACTTACATCTTGATATTGCTCCAACAGATACACCTGCCACAGTGGTCGATGTAGTAAAAACGGCAATCGACTGATTGCGGACACTACCGACTCCGCTCGAACCGGAACGGGACGATCTCGAAGAGATTCTGGTTGATTACACTGCGAAGACGAAGTTCGGGCAGTTTTTTCAACCGAGCTGGGCAGGCAGACTGCTGGCACGGGAAGTACATGTTCGTCCAATCGAAAAGCATTACACGGCTGCCAAGCGTAACCAGTAGACAGACAGGTCAGGCACTGTGTGAGACGCATCAAAGTGTCTTCTGGAGGTATGAGGGAATTGGCTCGGGGACGTGTCCCTCCGGCAGATGCAGTAGCTCCGGGAAAGCCACTTCCACTGACAGTCCATTTGTCACTGAAACACGATCCATGCGGACTGGAAGCCAATGAAGACGGTGTGGAGTGACGGGGCAAAAGACGAGTTGCAATTACTTCACGCAACTTAGCCAATCGGACCCCAGGGGCACCAAATCGCAAACAGATCACAATAAGTGGTGGATTTTCGGAACAATACAAAGGCAAAGTGATATCAAGAGAAGAAGAATCAGAGATCCGAGACTTGATGGGATACGAAGATGGCAACGATGAGGGTATAGGTGGGAGCCATCTGAGCTCCGCCGGAGATAAAGCGCGATACATGGGACCAGTTTGAACGGAGCTGATTGACGATTCACAGTGACACCAAGAACCGTTTGATTCCGGGTCTGCTTCGTTCCAAGGTGGATAGAGTCGAGAAAGAAGTAAATGCAA